CGGGTCAGCACAGCCGGGAGGAGGAGAGGCCGGAGGGCCGCCTTGACCTCCCCGGGGAAAGGCGGCTCGGAAAGGGAAGCAGCCGCTGACGGGAGAGCCGGTCCGAGGCCTGGCACCGGGAGGGAGGGCGCGCTCTGTTCCCTCTCCAACAAGCCACGAATGGGAAGACCCTTCCCTGAGAATTTGGGGGCGCCTGATGGGGGGGAGAGCCCAAGGGGGGACGGGACCCAAAGCCCCCCGACGGCAGCATCCCCACCCTCCTCCTCCTAACGGGCGGGACGGGCGTCCGAAGTGGGCCTCCCTTCACTTACAGGCCGCCTTCCTCTCAGAACGAGGAGCCAAGGCGGCTTACCGGACGGGGCGAATCCCGAAAGGGAGGAAGGGGCCAGCCAAGGAGAAGCCGCGGCGCCCTTCACTTCGGCCGCCTCTCCTGCCCAGCCCGTCCGCTGGGCACCGGCCCTGGCGGGGGGGGGCTCCCTTTCCCCCTCTGCTTCCCGGAGTCCCGCCGCCAGCCGGGGCGCTTCTGGGCGGCTCGCAGTCCCTCACTCGGCGCGAAGGGGCCGGTCAGAGCTGACTCGCGCCTGGCCCAGCCCGGGCGCCTTCGCCTTCCTCCGCCTCCTCCTCCTCCTCCTGCGCTTTCCTCCCGGCCCAGCGGCGCCGGCTTGGGCTCTGGCGACGACTCCGAGCGCCTCCTTTCCTCCCCGCCAAGAGCGTTCCTGGGATACTTTTGGGGGCGGCAGCGGCTGGACCCCAGCGCTTTTTTGTCCCCGAGACCGACCCAGTCCCGTGGCAGAGGCGTGGGAAGGAGCGTCAAAGCCGCTCCCGTTTCAAACTTGTGCTGCGCAGCGGAGAGGAGGCGAAGTGGCCCAGGAGGTGAAAAGGGGACGGGAACCCAGGTCGCCCGAGTGAAGCAAACCCGCTTCCTTGGTCCCGGAACCGTTTTTACGCACCGCCTTTCCATCGCGCTGTTCCTTCCCTGCGCTCCAGGCGGTGGACGTTTCACTGGTCTATTTATTCCTTCCTTCCTTCCTTCCTTCCTCCTTCCTTCCTTCCTTCCTTCCTTCCTTCCTCAGTGCCAAGTTTATACTACTAGGACTCTATGTGCGCTAAAATGAGTGCTTGCATTCCTGAGCAGACATTGAGTGGTTTGCTTTAGGTTGCTGGAGTCTGGCATTCTAGGAGAAACAGCCCAGAAAAGTAAGTTTCCCGTGCGCTGGTCTAGCTCAGCCTCCAAGTGAAGGGAGGCAAGGAAGGCCCTAATCATCCCTTGGTGTGGCCTGCAGGATAAGTGGAGGGTTTCTAAATAAGAGAGCTTTATTTGGATTTCATGGCTTGACAGCCATCAGACAGGCTAGTAGTGGGGGGACGTTCATCAATGACTGGAAATAGCCCATATAATTACATAATGCTCATGTTACTCTACCGTTGTTATTTTTACCATCGTTAATTTACAACAGAGGTTCTCAAGTTCTTTACAGCACAAGCTTCTCCTGGGTATCAAAGAGACTGTCATCACAGTGTTTAACACCCAATGACTTTCTTACCAACCAACCAGGATCGCTGTATTTTGATATCTGTACTTTGATGCCAAGTGTCAATATTAGCCGTGTTATATCTTCTCCTAATGTCTGATGAAGTGGACTTGTCCGCAAAAGCACACACATATATATATTCACCTCAAATGCTTGCATAGACTAACACAGCTGCCTCTTCTGCTACATCAACAGAACTGTCCCCCAAGCTACCTGAGCAAACGGAGGTGCCCAATGCTCGTGGGGACCACTCTGGGTTGACTGGCTTGAAGAAAGTGGTGGCAGCAATCATCTGCCATGGTTTCTTGTTGGTTTTGCGGAATTGGGGCTGAGGAGCTACCAGGGTCGGTCTTCCTGCTACGGGTGTTGGTGCCACCTTCTGCCAGGGCTTCAGGCCACAAGGAGGCAGGCGGTGGTCCTATGCCAGTCTGCCAGTTGCATGGGAGCAATCGCCACCATGCCTTTGATGAAGCCACCTGTGGTCCACAAAACCTTGCACCTTTATTAGGCTGGAGGGGCTCCCCGGCTCCCCGTTGGCTTTGCCACAAAAGATGAACACCAGTGATTCTCTGGAACAGAAACCAACTGGTCAGGGCTGTGAGCCCAGGACTTCTCTTCCAGAAAAAGTGAACCTGTTGGCAACTCTTGCAGAGTTCTAACAGCAAGGCTGGCCCTGAGCAGTGGCCTTTGCAAAAGGAATAGAATGGTGGGCATTTTGGTCTGATCCAGACCTTGTTTGGAGGAGGTGGCGAAAGCTGCACGCCACACCTTCTGCAGACATGGAGAAGCCATGTGTCTCACCCCACCGTCCGGCTCGAGAGGACACTGTAATCCTTCCCTGTTTGGTTTCCTTCTCTTCTGGGGCATCCTGGCTCTGGATCCAGCCACAAACCTCTGAGCATGCCCGCCTGCCCTTGCAACCTGCAGCATCTTCATGGATGCATGATGGCAAAGGTGTGGTACTTTCCATACGTTCTGGGCAAGGCACAAAATGGCTGGGGACTCTGAGAAAGGATGGAATTAGCCAATATTTCAAGGTATTTGCAATGCAGATTGCGCTGGATGTGCATGTTAATGTAGGGCACGGTGGGAGCTAATCCCCTCCTCGCTGGCAGAAATAGGCCACCCGATTCTTGCTTTAGCCACGTGGATGGAGCGCACAGGATGATGTGACATGGAGGGGATGATATGGTGGGGGTTCAGTGGATCCCCCCTGGACATAGATGGGTTCGGACAGATTCTGGTACACCAGGAGGGAGTTATGATAATAGCCTTAAAACTGCAGAGCTGGAAGGGACCCTGTGGGTCATCCAGTCCAGCTCCTGTCAAGTGGAGGAATCAAACTCTCAACTTCTGGCTCTGCAGCCAGAGACCTAAACCTCTGAGCCATCCAGATTTGGTGGCGCAGGGAAGATGAAGGATTCACCCATTACACAGAGAGAGTGGGGCTCTCAAGGAGTTCAGCAGAAAGGGGTGTCCATCTGCTGGACAGTCGTCTGAACACCATGAGTCCTTTACACAGTATCAGGGCCAGAGGGGGGAATAGTTATTTTTTGGACTACCGTTTCCAGATCCTGGGAACTGTTGCCCAAAACCTATAACAAGAATGGGGAAGAGGTTTCGTCCCATTTCAGAAAAGTTCTAGGAGGCCCTACTCTCGTGGCAGGCAGTTCTGAAGGCAAGCGGCTGAGTCCCTATAGAGGGGCCAAGAGGGAACTGCTTGTCAGCGATGGTCCCCTAAACCCTCCCGGCTAAAAGGATGCTGAAACCTGGTTTTAAAAACCCAACAAAACCCAAAGCCCGATGCATGGAAATAAGAGACCCTGGGATAGTAGGATCTACTCACTGTTAAGGAGTTTAGGGTCAGGACATTAATGCCCCCCTGAGCTGTTTCCTCCCCAGCTGCAAAAGGAAGCTGAGCCCCTAGGCACCCAAGTTGCTTGTCAGGCTAGTTGGGAGGGGGCAGGCATAACGGAAGATGTGGGTTGGGAGTGGGTGGGTGGGAGGCAGGGAAACGCCTACCTACCCCTCTGTGAAGAAGGCACCAAGAATTTTGGGGGAAGTTATTCTGCCAACAGGAAGGGAAGTCCTTCTGGCCGTTTCCTGTCTATAATTAAGTGTGTGGGTGTGGAGTTCTGCGCGGCAGGATCTGTGCTCCCTACTTCTGGAAGCAAAAAAGCAGCAAACAAAACCCAACCAGAAATGTGGTCGGCACTTTTAAGTGCCGAGAAATCCATGTCTGTGCAAGCTTTAGTGGACATGAATCCAATTCCTCGGATGCTTCTTCGGGTTCTGACACGGCAGAGGTGCAGAGATTGCCTGGAAGGAAAGATACTCTGCACATGGCCAGAGGAAACCTCACCTAGAGCTCGTCTTCTAAACCTAGTAAATGGCTAGTGGAGTGGGAAAGGCAGAGATGGAAGAAATCCAGGCAGTTGGTAACTATATCCATTCTAGGAATGGAATGAGACTTAAGTTATGGGCCTCAGAGACACTCAAAGCAAAGCCCCCTGCAAGTAATGAAGACTACAACAAAGTCGTGGCACTTTGCCCAGGCTGTGTGTGGCCAAAGAGCCTCTGTGGCGAGGCGGGTGTGAGCGGAGGGGGCGGGTTTTGGTCTTGCTCTTCCCAAGGGTCTCGCTGGCCACGATTAGAAGCTGTTGCCTCAGTTTCCCCACTTGAGAGCCCAACTTTTCAAGACTGTGTCATTTTGAGAAGCTGCTTCAGCTCCTCAGGCAGAGTCCTGCTTCTCGAGGCAGGAGGAAAAAGCCCCAATTTCTGGATAATCATGGCCTACCTCGCATGGCTCTTGTTCGGATTCCTGAGCTCTTGGCAGACCCCCCGAAATGTTCCATAAGTGTTAACGATAATCGGAGTTATTATAGGCCATGTCGTTAACTCAGCAGAGCTAAACGCTTGCAGACCTAATGAAGTTCATCTCTGTTTGACACTTTTTCAATTATATAGTACTTGGAATCCAATTTATGGCAAAACAAGCGAGAGGATTGTTATGGGAAGGGAAGGAATGAGGCCGGCCAGAGGGAAGTTAGCAAATCTTGGCAGGGAAGAAGAGAGAGGCCAGCAGGAGCTGAGCCTCGGAGCCTTCCCAAAGGGGGCATCTTTGACATGGCACCCCTGTAGCAGGTGCGGCTCAGTAACACACCCTGGGAATTGCCCGGTGGCTCCTTTGAACCAAAAAGAAACACCCCTTGTTTTGACCCCTCTCAAATGCTGCCAAGAGCATCGCGGGGTGCCGTCCCCCAGTGGAACACTGCCAAACAGAGCCCAGCTCTTTCTGTGTTAAATGACCTGGGAGGGGAGGCACGGCTGGCTGGGGTGACTGCCAGGCAGCAGACGGATGTTGTTCATTGGCTTCCTCCCCTTTTATTGCCTCCATTCATCCTGGGCTCGTCCAGAGCCGTCGGAGAGGCCAGACCTGTTGGATGGATGGCCTGCCATCACAGGCTGGCTGTGAGCCTCTGAATCTTGAGGCCACTCCGGGCTCCTGGTATCCAAGATTCAGGAGGTCTGGAGTCGGACCCCCCCCACACACACACACACCTCCTCGAATCTTGAGGCCACTCCGGGCTCCTGGTTTCCAAGATTCAGGAGGTCTGGAGTCAGACCCCCCCCACACACACACCTCCTTTCCCCCAAGGGGAGGGGGCCAAGCCCAGCTGGCTGACAAAATCTCTTGACTGGCCTCTAAGCAAGGAACAGACACCCCCATGTAAATGCACCCCAAACCCTTCCCCCCGGACTCTCATCCTTCCCCCCCCTTCCAGATGCCCCCAGATCCATGGTGGCAAAGGTGCCATACCTACAGCTCACTGCTGGCTTCTACGACTCTTTCCGCCTTTTAAGGGTTGTTTCTGCTTTTCATCATTGACAGCTCCCAAG